GGCACAATAACACGGGGAATATTCTTCCCCGTGTTATTCATGTGTTATTCATGTGTTATTGATGTGTTATTGTTATTGTGTTATCCCAAGAATATTCTTATGACACAATAACACATGAATAATACACAATAGCACATGAATAACACGGAGGGGAATATTCCTCGTGTTACTGCGCCGTTTTTTTTTCTCTATCGCGCAGAGTGTCGTGGCGTTATTTTATTGGCTACGCATATTACTCTACGTGCGTAGTACTGATGTAATATTTTTTCCTCCGGAAGACCACACATTATTTGAAGATCATTGATTTAGGGTTCATGCTAAAAATTAAAAATAAAGAGGAATCAGACAGTCATTCCTCAAATTGAACACGCTATAGATGTATAAAACATATAGTCAAGCAATTATACGAATACATTAAGAATTTAATTTTTTTTTTGTTTTAGTAAAATATTAGAGATAATGTTAAAATATTGTGTCAAGATATATATATGTTGAAAATAAAAGTAAGAATTAAAAAAAAAAATTGGATTCAAAGTTCAAAAATTCATCCGGCCAAAATTTAAATAAATAATATTTGCAAAAAAAAAAAAAAAAAAGGCTTTTAGGGCCGCACGACTTGAAACCAACACTGGCCGCTCTCCAGCCATGGCTGCTGCTCTGAAAGTTCCTCTCTCAATCATAAGGTAGGCTTTCGCTCGCTCTACCCATCTTCTCCGTCCTCAATTCTCTCTTTCTTTCGATTTCATTGCCAATTTTCATTGCAAAATACAGGCAACCTTTCGCACTTCGATCTTGCGCAACAGTAAGAACCATCACTGGTCTGTCCGCCTTTACCCTCCAAGCACCATCTTTGTATTTACTGCGACAAAGGTTTGTCCAAAACCCTAAACTTGTTGCCCAACTCTTTCTTGATCTAGATCTGAGAGCTCAAAGTCGAGATGGAATAATATATTTGAATTCCTAAAAATTACTTTTGAATTATTTGAATTCGCTTCCCAAATGATGGAAATGCTGGAAAAGAAGCACTTGTTAGATATTCAAGCATCATATTGATTAGGGTTCTTCATCCTAAATAGTATATATATTGATAGAGTTGTTGAAATCAAGGGCATAATGAATTGATTTCTACAATTTGGATTTCTCCTTGCATAATTTTGCATTCCTAAGCCATCTTCAGGTGATTCCTTCTATTCTTTCATTTTTTTCTTCTAGTTCTTGATAATGCTATAAAGCTGAATGCCTGCCACTGCTAACTCCACTATAGTCCTGCTAATGATGCTCTGAAATTCCCAAAAGTGCCCTAATTTGCTGTAATTTAGAGAGTTCTTTGAAAAGTTGTTGATTGCATGATAATTTTAAAAGTCTATTGCTGTGAATTGATACAATCTTAGATCTTAATTATGTGACTTCCTTGTATGTTGATGGAGAGGAGAGGCAAGACGACGTCAATGAAGAAGTGATGTGAGATATATCGCACACTACTAAGCTATATATGAAATTAATTTCTTCACGCATCCTTTACATGTAAAATTTGGTTTTGAGTTCTTCTATAGACATCTTACAAATGTTCATCTCATGTCCCATTGTGTTGAAAAGTATTATACTCCAACTCAGCATTAAAAAAATTAGGGCTTTACTTATGAAGTCTCGGACATTTGTCGAGACGTGTTGGAGTTGTGTCCATATCCAACGCCTGTTTGACATAGACATGAAAGACTTTTGGAGTGCACGTGCTTCCTAGGTGGACATAAATTGGGACACATGAATTATTTAATCGAACAATGACTAGTGACATAAACTTTCAATTTCTTTAATTGTGTGTGTGTTGGTTGGATGTTTGTTCTTCAAGTACTTGTAGATCTTGAAGATTATTTCTATGGGCAAGTCTCTTTGTATCGCATGAGACTTTGATTTATTTTTCTAGTGATTGTTATCCGCCCTCGTTCTAGTTATTAGCTTTTTAGTTAGTGTTTGTGTGCAAATGAAGTTTTGTCAAGCATGATATGTTCTGAATTCATTTTCGTATTGCGATTCTCAGTGATTGTTGAAATTTTATGCTCATTCATTGATTTCTTGTGAAATCTCTAATTTTGGTATTCATTAAGTTATTATTTGGAATAAAATTAAAGTATTTGTTGTTTACATTAAGGCTGGTTAAGTTTTGCTAAAGTAAAGAGTTGGCAGTATGTGGGTTGCATTTTTTTTTGTTTTTTTTTTATTTTTCATTCATTGATCGGTACTCCAAGCTAGGGAGAAGCTCTCATGCTATCTTTTTTGTTCATAGATATGCACGTCATTACTCCGCCTCACTTAATGAAGAAGCATCAGCCAGACTAGCAGACGACAGTGCAGAAAGTGTAGCTCCGACTATGTAAGTTTCCTTTCCATGTGTGATATCCTTTCATGAAGTCAACTTATATCTCTAGTGTTTTCATATAATGCTCTTCTCCTAGTCTCTTGCATCTACAAGTGGAGGTTAACGTTATTTTATATTAAACTGTCACCCCTTAAAGATTTGACAAGATTATATCGAAGGAAATCCCGTCATCCATTGTTTATGAAGACGACAGGGTGTTGGCTTTCCGAGATATTGATCCTCAAGCTCCTGTTCATGTTCTTGTTATCCCGAAGATCCGAGATGGACTAACCCAACTTGGAAAGGTATCGATTTCACTCACCGAGAACATGCAAACTGTTTCTCGATCTTATATGTTACTATAAAATTATTCTATTCCACCTTTGATTTCAAATTTTTTTTTAGCTTAGATTTAGGATGAAATCCTTATCCGTTTATAGATTTATATTGGTCTCAACAGGAAATGCATCTTGATTTGTATGCTGTATTCATTCTATTAGTATGTATACTGTAATCTCTAACAACTGAGGTAGTGGTTATGTTTGTATCTCCTTAATCTTTTCAGGCTGAGATAAGACATGCAGAGATCTTGGGTCACCTTCTCTATGCTGCGAAGGTAGTGGCTGCGAAGGAAGGCATAGAGGATGGTTTCCGAGTTGTTATTAATAATGGTCCTAGTGCATGTAAGCTGCGCAAGGGTTTGATTAATATTTAGGGGAATTTACATGCATGTCTCCTAATTCCTATGTATTTACATATATAACACCTAAATTTTGCATTTTACATTTATACCACCCATGTCTTTCATATCATCATAAAAATACAACAATTTTAACTTTTAAAAAGTGTAATACACCTTTTCGTGCATAGGTAAGGTGGAATGTATGTAGAAATTGAGGTTTAGATGTCAGATATGTAAATATATAGGAATTGAGTGGTACATATGTAAATCTTTCCAAAATTTAACGACTACTATACTGAAAGACTTTCCTTTTCTTTTTTTCTTTTTTTTCTTTTTCTTAATTAATACAGGTCAGTCTGTATATCATCTTCATCTGCATGTGCTCGGTGGGCGACAGATGAACTGGCCTCCTGGTTAAATGAGAGAATGCTGCTTCATTGTTAAACAATTTCCTTCTGCTTTCTTCACCCTCTTTATCCCTCTCTATCTTGTTAGTGTAGGAGAAGGGCCATAGTTTTCTTAAGTTTCGGCCGTTACATATGAAAGACAACATATTCCTATGCAATATTAACATTAACAATGATGATGATTATTATTCCGTATGGGCAATCAAATTGGGAGAGTGAGGATCAATCTTGATTTCATGGCGATTGTGGCTGGATTTTTTTGAGGATTTGTGATACCTTCAAAACTTAGACAAATCAATTTGATTCGGGCCACTTTGATTACTGTGTTTTATGGTTGTAATTGGAATTGTTGCGGCGAAATGTTTTGCTTGACGGTGTTTCAACTTGATGTTGTTTGTTCAACTCATAGATTGAATGTTGAAGCGAAATTGATTGTTAATTCAATCTTTATATTTTCCCCGGAGGGTAAGCGCTCGAACCTTGCATTTATTAGGAGTAATGTGATGCATTTTTTAAGCCTCTCATATGAAATAGCTTCAAGCTCGACTGTTTTCGTTAACATGGTTTGTTTTATTGTTTCAACCATGATCCTAAAACATCATATTAAAGTATTAATACCAAGTCTATATTTCATGACGTGGATTAAAGTCATAAAAAACACAAGTAATCAATTCTAGTTCATTAGGGCTCAAACAATGATGAAACTGTATTAATTCATTGTTCTCGGAATTTTGGATAACATTAGCACATTGGAGTAGATATGTAAGCTTAGTGTCACCTCCCAAAAGAGCTCTTAGGGGTGGTGGACAACTCATGACTTAAATATTGTTTTTCGGCCCTACACCTAACTGATGTGTGATTTTTGGTTCATGACATTTTCCTTCACCCAATCACGTGACGCCCCCGTCCTGGATTAGTTCCATCGAGGGTCCCACTGAATCATGACATTTTCCTTCACCCAATCACGTGACGCCCCCGTCATGGATCAGTTCCATCGAGGGTCCCACTAAACCATGGAATGAGACAAATAGTCCCACATCGACTAGGTGTAAGGTCGAAAATCAGTATTTAAGTCCTTGGGTGTCTACCTCTCTTAAGGGCTCTTTTAGGAGGAGACATTAGTCTCATTAAAACACTACACACATTCTAGTTTAATACCTTTCAAATGGATGACTAGCATATCAATGCATTTCTTTTCATTGGTGTTGGAAGGAGTCCATGCTTATTGATTATATGAGTTGGTGGAGAAAATTCAAGTCAACTTACTTGAAGCCTTTTCCATTATATGACAACACACATTATATCATCTTTCATGTTAGTAAAACAGTAAGACAATAGCCCATATGAGTACCAACTAAGGGTTTAGTTGAGCCAGACGACTTACAAGCTGACTCAAATTAGATTTGTTATTGAGCTCGTGAGTCAGGCCTCTATCTTGGCACACATTCAAGGTTAAGCTCAAGTTGTACTTGTTTATTAATTAAGCTAGAGTTTGCCTTGACTCGATGACTTAATGAACTATTTGATTAATCCTATGTTCAAAAAATTTCTCTCTCTAAGCCATGCTTGTTCTTTTCGACTTCATATTGTGAGCTTCTAAAAGAAACATGCATAATTTTTTTTCTTTGCATTGTGTTGTGCTCGACAACATCTTGTTGATCTTCATCCTAATCATCCCTGACCTAGATTGCCTTCTTCTCTAACAAGCTCCCCCAATTAAACTGATCCATTTGTTTGAGTCAAGCTCGAGCTTTGGAGTTAATGGAAGAGCCTAATTTGAGCTTGAATTTGAGCTAAGAATTTGAGAGATGAGCCGAGCTAAGAGTAGTTATGACACAAGCTAGACTTGGCTCGGTTTCACGCCTAGGTACAACTCAAGAACTCGTGGGCTTCAAACTATGTATGCAAAACTTTATCTCTAGAAATATCAAGTATAATATGATTTTATTAAACATCAAATGGATGCATTAATGTCTATGGTAGGATTTGTAATACTATGCAAACCAAGACTCTTTGATTGAACTTAGAACATGTTACTCACAGTCATTGCTACTACAACAACACTTTATCTGTTTGGGCCAAAGACATAAGGGCATGCCAAGCCAAACGGCCTCCTTTGTAGCTGTAATATAGGCTATATATTAAACTTTTATGATAGATAGTGAAACAAATAATTATTTCTTAATGCCATAAGAGAGTTTAGTCAAACAGAAAAATTGATCCAACATTGGATTTATGATCATTATTGTCTTACGCCCAATGAACATAAGTGTAACTAGACCAACCAACCTTAAATTTTAACTATGATGGTCCAATGCTAGGTTTATTGTATATGTAAGATATCAAAAAATAGTATTCACTTCTTACCAATGTATTGAGCTTGCATTATTTTAATAATGTCCGACCACTCCCACAATACCGCAATTAATGTAAGGGAAATTTAAATATACCACATAAGTCATATGTATTTACATATAACACCCAAATTTTGATATTTGAACTTTGTCATAGCATATGCATGAGAAGATATATTTCACTTTCAAAAAGACGTGATTGTGATATTCTTGATGTGATGTTACAAATTTTAGTAGCACAAGTGAAAATATGAATGTTTAGGTGCTAGATTTGCAAACATATAAGAGTTGTGTGATATGTATATAAATGTTTGTAAATGTAAATATGTTCAAGTAGACGTCGTAACAAACATCAAACATTCTATAGCATTTTGACATAAAAGCTTGGACATTTAGGACTTATTCTCTAAATAGAGAGAATTACCGAAACATAGGGTGCACCTTTTCATGATGGAGTGGCCAAGGCTTTAGAGATTTGTATTCCACATCACTCAAAATTTATTTATCTTTCTTTGGGTAAACTCAAGAACACTTTTGATTGATTTCAGTTAATTTTTTTGTCTTGAAGCCAATTTCACCCAACTTAGTATTTCAAATTGAAAGAATGACTAATAATGAGTAGAGAACTACTTTCATATCATTTATAACCGCTAATATGCATTGGTGGTTATTCACAATATCACAAAGCTTTTTTTAAATGTTTAGAGGTAATAGCCTGATGAAATATGTGGTTTCAATGTTTGGCTAATAATTTCAACCCATCAATACAACATTTGAGCTTATTGCTCCTGCTGAAGAAATCAGTGGATTGATCCAAATAAATTTATTCATCCAACTCACCATTAAGACATGATGCCTTAACATTGATATAGGATAAGTTTACCCTACTATAAGATGAATGTAAGCAGACGATTACACCAAACATTCTTAAATTTTTTGAGTGCATAATGATAAATATACAACTATCTCACAATAGCATGAATGTATCTGTAAAAGGGTTGGTGTAGCTCCAGTGACAAACAAGATTAAAGAGCCGTCTTAGATAGTTTGGTCACATTAAACGTCGAGCATCTGATGATATGGTTAGAAGAGTAGATGTTTTAGATATGACTATGTTAAGAAAAATAGAGGTAGACCTAAAAAGGCTTAGGTATGTTATATAAAAAAATGATCTTAGTTTATTAGAATTAAATGAAAATATGGCACTCAATTGGACACAATGGAGAGAAATAATTAATGTAGCCTACCCCACTTAGTAGGATCAAGGCTTGTTGTTTTTGTTGTTGTTGTTGTTGTGTTGTTGTAACATAATAACAAGGACGCAATGAGGGTGAGATGATTCAAGCTATTATTGTATTAGCCATGTTAGATATTTAATTCCTATAAAAACTAAGAATAAATGAAAACATATGGATGATCCATCCATCCTACATTGAATTTTAATAATTGCTGATAAAGCGGGGATAACTTGAATTCAACTTATGAATTATTCATCATCATTAAGATCTCTTTTTTTCCTCTAAGGATTGTAAATTTATACACTTAAGTAGTCCTTCACTTAAAGAATAGAAGCACACAAAAAAGTTTAGAAACTTTAAAAATATATATTAAAAAATCAAGAGCTTTAGTTGCTCCATATTTATAGAAATAAGAAAAAGAATTTAATCGCTGAATTTTTATTTGATGTTATTATTTAAATGCCTACCATCATTATCACATATATCATTATCGGCATACCTATTATCACTACCATATTTATCATCATTATCAAACCTATTATTAATTGTAATGATATAAATCTCTTTGTAGGCCATGATATAATAAATGGATCAATACTAATATAAGTCCTTGTAACATGAAATCCCTTTATGAGCTAGGACATAATAATTGACCAAATGCATCTAGGCCAAGAATACAACATCATAATATAAAGACACAATGATATAAGTTTCTAGGATATAATCGTATATATCTTAGGTATGTAACTTAGCCATTAGGACGACAATGATGATGATGACAATTATGCCTAACATCAAACACTCGTTCAAATAAACTCTAAAGGTTATTAAAATTATTAGCTTTATTAGTTGCGGTTATTATTTGCAGTTATTATTTTGATTTATTAGCCTTTATTTACTTTTGTTATCATGTTTAAGTATTTCCTCTTTAATGTATTCTTGAATTTATGTATTTCCTTTTATATGAGACTTGTAATGTATATGTATACCCCTTTCCCTATCAATGAAATCCATCATGCTCTATTTTCAAAAGTTAACATGGTATCAAATCCATGGTTCTAACCCAACTGCTGGAACTTTTCCCTAGCCGCCGGCCACCTACAGGCCTTCCCCTGCAGAGTTCGGCCACCTGCAGGTCTTCCTGTTGTGTTTTTCCACCCACCGAATATCCCTCCAGTCGGTCGGATATCTCTCAGCTAGCCTGATCTTCCTCAGGAACAACCTTCCAGCTGGCCCAGTCTCCTTCCAAGATCACCGAAGCTCGTCCCTAAGATCATACCTCTCCCCAACAGAATCCTTCCTCATGCAACCAAAATCTTCCCATGTTTCAACAATCCAACATCACATTTGGCTCAGTCGAAACCACGACGAACTCCTCTACCATCGAGCCTCCTCCCGACGGTATACTTGAGTCCACCAGACGATTGACACCGACCTCAATTCCTCCACAAACCAAAGGCCCAAAAAATCACATGAACATCTTGATCACCACCCATAAACATAACAACTCTAATTTTCTCCAATGGTCTCAAGATGTGTCATTATTCATCAAAGGACGTGGGAAATTCGGCTAGCTCACAAGGATGATTCGTGAACCTATGAAAACTAACCCAATATATGGAGCGTGAGAAGTGAAAAATTCCTTAATCATGTCGTGGCTGATCAATTCTATGGAGACTACGATTGGTCATTCATATATGTTTCTTCCATCTACTAGTGCACCATGGACGGCAGTTCGGGATACCTACTCGGACATAGGAAACTCGAGCAAACTTTATGAGTTTTCAAGAAGATTCGTAAGGCAAAACAAGAATCAAGGACCGTGATCCAGTACTACAATGACTTGGTGGTCTTATGGATGGAATGCAAACTCTACTACAACTCCACATGAGACTCACCAGCTGATCTTTCCCTCTTCCAGAAAATTGTGGAAAAGGTTTGTGCGTTTCAATTCCTAGCGTGTCTAAACAAGGATCTCGATGAAGTTCAAGTTCATATTCTTAGTCGGGATCTCCTTCCTTTAACTCGTGCTGCATTCACCGAGTTATGCCACGAAGAAAGCAGGAGACTTGTCATGCTCAACAATTCCACTCCTTCAGCCGAATATTTCGCCTTGCTCTTTAATAGTGCCCAACCCTTCTCCGCGTCATCACGGGTCAATCACTCCACTTGTGATTATTGTCACAAACCCTATTATACCTGTGACGTGTTGGAAGCACCATGGGAAACCAAACAATAAACTTTCGACCAAATCCTCTGCCACTAAGGGTCTTACTATGATCTCAAAAACTACGAAAGTGCAGCTGGTTCCCACTCAGAACACCTCGGAATTACCATATTCCATTAGGATTCAAATGGAACACTTGATCAAGCTACTTGGATACAATCAGTTCTCTTTCGGTCCATCGACCTCCCATGTTCGTTAATGTAACATTACAATGACACTCATTGTTTTTGCTTCTTATCCATGGATTATTGATTCAGGTGCCACGGACCACATGCTCGGGTGTTCTCAAGCCTTCTCGACATATTCTCCGTGCTCTGGGAGAGAAACTATTAAAATTGTTAACGACTTTGGTTGTTCCATTGCGAGTAAATGGTTTGTTGTTCTAATAGTCGAGCTGATTGTAGAATATGTGTTACATGTATTCATTAAAGTATAATCTCTTGTCAATCAGTAAGTTGACTTATGACATTGATTATGTTGCTCATACTTCTCCTGATGTTTTTGTCTTTCAAAAACGTATTTCGAGGATGATGATTGGAATTGCTAAGCGGGTAGCTAGACTCTACTTCTTCTAAGTAAAAAAAACAGTATTGACGAGGTCACTCCATTCAGTAGTTGTGGTCTTTCTCGGTCTACTGAATGTCTTATTATGCTTTTATATTTTCGTTTAGGTCATCCCAGCTTTCAATATTTAAAACACTTGTGTCCTTAGATGTTTACTAATAAAAATTTATCTAGTTTCAAATGTAAGATTTGTCAGTTAGCTAAACATCATCGAGTATCATATCCACCACGCTCTTACACTCCTTTTTTTCACTAAATCATATTGACTTGTGGAGGCCCCCTCGAACAACTAGTTACACCAATAAATGGTGGTTACTTACCTTGATTGATAATCACACTCAAATAACATGACTATATCTTAAAAGATAAATTTGAAGCTGTTGTCACCTTAAAAAATTCACTCCTTCATTTTGACCATATTCAAAACAGCAATTCAAGTCCTTCAGACTAACAATGACCGTGAATTTTTTAACTCTATATTAAAAATTTTTTTGATAAGGATATCCTCCATCACAACTCATATACGGATACTCAACAAAATAGGGTAACAGAGCAGAAAAATCGACATATTTTCGAAGTTGCCCATTCCATTATGTTTCAATCGAATGTCTCGAAATAGTTTTGGAATGATGTCGTACTTACAACAACATATATCATCGATAGAGATCCCACAAAAATTCACAAATTTTGAACCCCCTTAGTAGTTTTGAGATCGTGTTTTTCTATCAATCGGTTCTCCACTTCATACCCTAAAATATTTGGGTGCATGACATTTATTCAGAACACTAAACCAACCGTAGTAAACTTGATCCTTGTTCAATCAAGTGTATCTTCCTCTGATATTATGACACTTAAAAGGGTTGTCGGCACCTCAATCCCATCATAAATAAGCTTTACTTGAGTGCCGATGTTTCCTTCTTCGAAGCCTCAAGTGAGGGGGAGCTAGATTTTTTCGGACACTAGTCCTTTTCCGACTTCTTTGGATATGCCACCTACTCCAACCACTTTTCCCAAGGAACCATCTATCCCACTGAATCCACCATCTACTAGACCAACTTTTCCTCTATCCACTCTCTGTTCTATACTTGGTGCATCAAACCCTCGGTTACGAACCGTCCCAATAACCCTACTCTTGAGCCCGCTGCCTCCTTGCAGGTCTTAGAATTTGCCCCAACCAACATCCCCGACACTATGCTTGCGGAGATTACTCCTGATCCAAATGAGGAGATGGGCTCTACAATTGAGGTATGCAATCAAGCTTGCTTTCTTTATTCCATGGCAAAATATGTCTCATTCCACAACTTATCACCAACCTACAAAGCATTTACCACTTCCATGACGGATCATCGTCTTCCATCCACTATTAAGGCAGCATTTGAGGACCCTTCTTGAAAGGCTGCATTAATGGATGAGATGAATGTCATTCAGCGAAATCATATGTGGGATATTGTTGATCTTCATCGGGGAAAGAAAATAGTTGGTTGCCGATGGATCTTCAACATTAAATTTAACTTCGATGGAAAATTTGAACGCAACAAAGCACGGTTGATCGCCAAATGCTACACACAAACCTATGAAGTTGACTATGAGAAGACATTTGCTCCGGTTGCTAAGCTAAACACCACTCGGGTCCTATTATCCCTTGCTGTGAATTTCAATTGGCCCTTACTCCAACTGAATGTCAAGAATGCTTTCCTTAACGGTGATCTCACAGAGTAGGCGTACATGTCCACTTCTAGGCTTTGACTCTACATCTTCCCGAGGACAAGTATGTTGACTACAGAAGTCCCTCTACGGAATGAAACAATCCTCTCGGTAGTTGTCACGTAGGTAGTAATGGACCATGAGTTCTCTAAGGCACAATTAAATCATACTCTTTTCTTTCGACATTCCTCTAGTGGCCAAATTGTCATCCTTATCGTCTATGTCGACGATATTATACTCACAGATAGTGATATGTCGGCCTTGGAATCTCCTAAAAGGATCCTCGGTGCATCCTTTGAAATGAAGGGCCTGGGGTTTTTCCTATACTTCTTAGGCATGGAAGCTGCTGGATCCTCTCGGGGCTTTTGCCTTTCACGGCGCAGATATGTGATTGACTTATTTATAGAGACCAACCCTCTACTTTGCAAACTGGTGGCTATTCCAATGGATCTGAATAAGAAATTGGCTAATATTTCCAAATTTGTTCCTGTGAACAAGACACACTACCAGCGTATTGTGGGAAAACTCATTTATCTCACTCATGCACACTCTGACATATGTCATGTGGTGGATATTATAAGTCAGTCTATATATAACCCCTATGAGCACCATCTCAAAGTTGTTCACTGGATCCTCCACTACTTACAAGGCACACTGAGCTCAGGTTTGTAGTTTTTGTGCCACACCTCTCGCTCTTGCAATTTATACTAACACTGATTGGGTCGGGTCCGTCCATGATCGGCAATCTACCATGGGGTATTGCTCATTCAATGCGGGGAAATGTTGTCACATGGAAAAGCAATAAACAGTCATGGTTGCCCGAAGCAGTGCAAAAGATGAATTTTGTTCCATGTCTTTGAAAAGCTTTAAAGCTCTCTAGTTACGTATCATGCTTCACGAATTACTTATGCCAGTCTCGGCTCCTCCATCGTTGTTTTGTGATAATAAAGTTGTCATTAGCATTGCTCATAATTTGCTCAAACATGACCACACCAAGCATATAGAGAATGACAAACAATTCATTAAGAAGAAGTTTGATTCCGGAGAGATTTGTGTTCCATTTATCCCATCCAATGGTTAACTAGTTGATATCCTCGCAAAGAATCTTCCTCGATCGTTATTTGATGTCTTCAAATTCAAGTTGAACATGATAGACATTCATAATTCAACTTAAGAGGAGTATTAGAATTATTAGTCTTATTAGCTGCAGTTATTATTAGCAGTTACTATTTTGATTTATTAGCCTTTATTTACTTCCATTATCATATTTATGCTTTTCCTATTTGAAATATGTCTGAATTTATGTCTTTCCTTTTATATGAGTCTTGTAATGTATATATATATATACCCCTTTCCCTATCAATGAAATCTGTCCTGCTCTATTCTCAAAAGTTAACAGAGGTAGATATGAAACTAAGCCTAGAATTGGGCAATTTGAAGTAATTCTCATCACTATGGAAAATATATCTCCATAGTCTACACCTTCTTGGATATATAGCGTTCCTTTCACTAGACATGTACCATACTCATCAATCATGTCATCGACCCCATGCTTAATATTGAAAATTGGCTTGCTTTTAATGATTTTTTCATCTTGTCGAAAGATCCATCAAGTATCAAACTGAATTACTTGCTATTGCGCTCATCTCATCACATATGTCTACCATCCCCCTTTTATGGGTTGGTTAGTAAAGTGCTTCTTTGTAATAAGTTGAGTCGCCCAGCTCCAAGGGGGCACACATAATGCTCCATCCTTAAGTTGAAATTGCTGACATAAAATTATTGTATACTGAGACTAACTTATTTGTATGTTAGGATTATTTGAGCTACTAAATAATGAAAAACTCTCACCGAAAGTGTTCCCTCTCACTATTATTTGCAAATTCAAGACAGATTATCAGCATCCACGCCCTTGCCAAGTGATGGTGAAAGTGTTTTAAATTCAATGTACTAGTATAAATTAAGATCCTTTTACTAATCCCACACTTACAAAGTCATCCTCAAGAAATTTGACATCCCTTGCTCTCAATTCAATCACATCCTGCAAGATGAGTTGGTCATAGGGTTAATTTTCATGTTTATGAAAAGTGTTATGAATGAATCTAATGGATCCCCTAAGATAGTTATCTAAATTAGGCTTCCACTCAGTTTATTGAGTTTGAGGGAACTTGATTAATGATGTAGATATCAATAATGAGTGCATCTCCTTAAAAACTATATTGAGAGGCTTGCCTGAACACCATGGTATCAAACAATTTTTAATTCAATGCCTGAGATTCGTAACAAAATACAAAACAAAACGATCATCTTTACAAACTGAAGATTGAAATGTACACAGAGACGGCCAATTTGCAGAATAAATATGAAACTAGAACAGAATTGCATGAGCAATCAAACAGTTCATCACATTTTTCTTAGAAAAACCTTTGCTGTCTGGGAGTGTCATATTGAACTGACAGCAGTAGGTAAATTTATTTTCCTAAAGTTATGTAAACAAATACATTACAAAGAGACAGGGTAATAAAGTACCATGGATCTCTTTGCGAGGTAACGCATAGCTACCAAGGATTCACATCCTGTCGTTGAAGTGAAAATTAAGTTTGCAGAACTGTTCGGTTATTATATTGATCATAGCTTGCTTGTTGGCAATCCAACTGTAAGCTCCCTTGATTTTTTTTCCACAATCTTGGAGATTTTCTTCACCTCTTCCTTTGAAATATACTGAGGTTGGCTTAGCCAGTGTCCTCCATCAACTATTAAAGTGGTTCCATTCACAAATTTACCTTCAAAGAGGATACACTATATGCGATTAAAATTATAAGAACAGAAATCAGACCTTTTTTGTAGAGATTTTTGACAGTGGCAAACGTTATAAATAAATCCAGAAAACAGATCCATAGAAAAAGGATACACTCAGGCAAAAGAAATTCAGATCCCTTGGAACCCCGTTTTGAAAGATGCCAGTTAGGATTTTAAGTACAATAAAACTACAAAAATGATAAAATGTGTATTGGAAATATTAAATAAGATGTCAGTTTGGTACTTATAGATTGATTTATTGAAAAAAAAGGTTTATTCTATCACTCTAAGGCTTAGCATGGGGTACATATGGTAAAAAACATGCTAACAATTGGTTCAAGAGAGGGTAAAATAACTGCAGGGCTAAGAAGATGCATGGTGAAATGTGCTTTCTGATGATCGAACCTTGCAAGAAAAAGTTTATTCAGCAATAGACTAGTAGAATATCATAAGTTCCAGGACGGACTAAAATAAATAACTAAAGTTTGACATTCTGGCATTCCATTATTTATTTAGTTATTTATATCTTTTTATTTGTACGCTTAAGATATGCTTGCTATCAAAATTTAATAAACTTTAGAAACAACTTTTGTGTGTACACCTTGAAGAATTTTAGAGAACAGCGCACTTTTGATCACATGTTGATTAGATTTGAAGTTTGTGCAACACAATATTAAAATGAGAAAGTTCTCTATATTTAAAGAGTGGTTTATATTATTTGGGTTTATCTTAAGAATATCGTGCACACTCCCATAAGAGGATCTCTGGAGATTAGGACACCAAACCAGCTTCATTCTCTGACATGGTATTAATGATAAATTAGTCCTAACCCTAAGACCCCCTTGCTCTCTCCTACCAGCAAGCTCCTCCATCTCACTTGATTCTTCACTTATATGTGATCCACTCTGGATAGTTCTCCTGTGCACGCTTTCCATGCTTCCATGTGCAATGCTATTCCTTTGCTAATGTGTCCACTCACTAGTATATTGTGATATTGTTCTGCACTCAATGCACGAATTCCCTCGTTCTCCTCCCAAATACAAACATATGATCCTATTTGCTTGCCCAAACTTGCCTGATTGCTCCCAACAAACCTAGGGCTACACATGCTATTGTATTTGTTTGTTGCATTCCCTATCACTTGCCTGCTACAGTATGGTAATGATCATGTCTTGAATTACTAATCCTCGATGACTTACTGGATGATTTAACTCTCCTCGCATTTATAGCTTCTCAATATCCTCTCAGTGACTCAAAATTCCTCCACCATAAATATTATAATCAAATTATCTTACATAGTTGAGGGCTTTTTTGCTTTCCTTCTTGATTCTCATGACAAGCTCAATCACCTTCATGTGTCTCCTCCATGTGGCATAAGCACCTTTAAACGTTCTAAATGAAAATGTCCGGCCATGCCATTTGCAAAAGGGTTTTGTCACTAAGGGGTTCTGCAAAGTTCTTGTTGAGATTGAGCTTTGCAATAGCACCATTGATCATTACATCGTCATCAGAAATACACCATTAGCCTTTGTTGTATTAGTTGTTTATGTTGATCTATTATTCAATTTAAGTAATCAAAATGCCATCTCTATAGTCACGTATTATTTGTAAAATGGTTTTGTCACTAAAGATTTGGGATGACCAAAATATTTTCTTAATGTTGAATTTGCTTATTAAAAAAAAGTATCTCTTACAGGAAAAAAGCTAATGATTGTGAAGCTATTCATCAAGGTTGCAAAACTTCTTGTACTCATATGGAAACTCATTTCACTTTTACTAATGAGGAGCATCTTAATGATCCATCTTAGTATCAAAGGTTGGTCAGTATATTCACTTCTCTAATTATTACAAGACTTGCCATTTCATTCATCGTTGAAGTTGTTTATCAGCACATGCATACTTCAAAATAGAAGCTTTGGGAGATGGTTTTATGCATTTTCATGTTTATCAAAGTCTTTTGAGAGGGATTTGCTATATGCTAAGACTAAGCACTTCAATGTGAGAACATTTTTAGATGTTGATTATACTAGCAAAGTTGAAGATAGAAAGTCAATTTTTGAATATTATATTTTTAATGACAGTATTTTGGTCCCCAAAATGGAAAAAAAATAAACTGCTATGGCAAAAATTCAGTGCTAAGGTTGAATATAGAATTATGACCTACTTTATATTTAAAATGTAGGTAAACTTTTTAGGATAATTTAATTTTCAGTTATATAACTTATGATTTTTTATCCTGACAACCATATTGTCATCTATATCTTCAATAACCTTATAATTAATAAAAGAACTAAATACATTAAGATTCATTGTTATTTTATTTGGGATAAAATCATTGCATGTGCCTCCAATTTAGAAATAACTGACTGATAGTTTTTAGAAAGCATTGACATCTTTACATTCCTCATGATTATGTAACAAGTTAAATCTAATTGATATAAGTGCTCTAGCTTTATGGACTGTTTAATGCATGAAAATATTAAAATAGGAAAGCTCTCAATATTCGGAGAGCAGTGTATATTACTTAGGACATTCCAAAAATATTGCAGCCACTCACCTATTATAAAGAAGCAGTTTAAGGGTGTCTAGGTTTTTAATGCAACTAAAACAATATAATGAATATTAATTATCCAAAAAAATAGGGATTCATGAATCAAAGACAAATAAGTGCACACAATTTCACTTTATTCGGATATAAATTTTAAACTCTGACAAATGGAATGAAAAAACATGATGTATCGGTTGATTAAACGTGAAAAAAAGCAAGAAGTAATTGAAATTTTTAGTCACAACTGAGATTCTAGTTTTAACCAATTTCTTTAAATCATAAATCATGCATCACCGATAAATAATTAATTGAGAAGACATCTCAGCAGCACAAACAGATGACTTCTTTGAAGGTTACTCATCACACTTGTATTGCCCTTGAAAGAAATTCATATTTAAATTTCTTTGAAGGTTACTCATCACACTTGTATTGCCCTCGAAAGAAATTCATATTTAAAAGATACAATAATAAAAAAAAATGTACTTGTAATGGATGCCAAGGATTGTTTATTTATAGAATACTCATTCACCCTTTTCTAAACTATTAAACGAGGCTAAGCATGATTTCAAATAGCCAATCTTCAGATAATAATAATCAAATTCTTGAATTTTCATGGATAAGCACCGGACGACGGCTGCATCGACATAGTGGAAGGCAGAATCACAACCTAAGGTAAACCAAAATATCTAATTACTGAAGAATCTATCATAAATAGCATGTCCCAAATATCTAAAATTGAAAACAAAATAAAATAAAAATAGAAACTTGTTGAATTTGAACTGATCACCATCTCCTCAGCTTTAGTTTAAACCAGAACTTCAAGAAATTTTTGAGAAAATGTTTGCAAAGTATGATACTTATCTCAAAACTAGAGATAGCAGGAAGATCTTCATTCTTAGCGAAAACATCAAATGCGCATAGGAGTAGCTCATGTTAAATTTTATTTTGATTACTTTAATTAAGTTAGCCAATGGAAGCCATCCTCTCATGGCTACCCTAAATTTCTTTCAAATTTTTGTTATGGTAAGTCTTACGTTCTCAAAACTTGCGACAGATGAGTGGCATTTTTTCAATATGACAGTCCTCAATGAAACCTAATTGTTCACCCTATGGAAAGATAAATATACAAAAAGGAAATACACGACATTTGAACCATATTCACAGCATGGAAATTATAGCTCATAACAATTAACTATATTTACAAGGAAAACAGCAAGAAAAAATAATTTTACAAGCAAAAATGTGCATACAAACCTGCATCAGAAACCAGGTAGAGAGCAGCCATAGCTATATCCCATTTCTCTCCTAATCTAACGGAAGGCATTAAACCTTTCCTTGTTTCAGTTATCTCCTTCGGTAGAAGCTTTTGCTGTCCCAGGGTTCCCTCAATTAGCCCAGGGGCAATTCCATTGACTCTAATGTCAAAATCAGAACCCCACTCAAGGGCCAAGGACCTAGTGATACTATCTACTGCTGCCTACAAAATTAGATTAATCTGTAATGTAAAAATTAATTTTTTATAAGAAAGTAGAAATATTAATGCAGACATGGGTGCAGGGAGGGGGGGAGGGAGGGAAGCCAATATCTCACCTTGGCAGCAGAAACATGAATCTGGTACCAGGCAGCTCTATAATGCAATGTTGCACTTATATTCAAGATAAGGCCACCACTAGAAGGGTCTTTCCCCAGACCTCCTTTTTTCAGATATTTCAAAGCTTCATGGCACATTGTATATGTGCCAACAGAATCGATATCCAGAACTGAAACGATCATGTGGAAGAAATAGAGCTATATGAACTTGTAGAAGCAAAAGATTTTTCTAAACATTTAACCAAGATTATTAATATCCTTATTATTTTCATAGAAGCTTTCTGAAGTTCTCTCTCATTCGTTAACTGCTAGGATACAGCAATGTAAATCTGTACCAAATCCATCACATTGAGTTGGAAATTCTAAACTTAGAAGATTAGTGATCACTCCGAAATTCGCTTGAAAGAGAAATAAGAAAGTAGATTAGAAGAATTTAAGAGAGTATATTTCACCTGTCCTGAAACCATTCGGTGATAGATCTTCAGGGGATGCCAGAAAATTGCCTGCTGCACCATTTACAAGTATGTCAAGTCTTCCAAAATGTTTAACTGTGCCTTCTATGACCCTAACTGCATCTTCTTGTTTGCGCACATCTCCCTCAATCCCAATAGCCTGCAATTTAATGAACACTGCATCAGCTATATGAGGTGCGGGTGGATTCTAAAAAATGTTAGCATGGGGAAATGCTATACAATGATGGAAAAAGTAATTGTAACAGCTGGAAGATGCATTAGCTTGTCTTTGATATGGCATCTTAAAGCTATGGAACCTATTCTATTTTGATGAATGCCAAACTTTTTATTTTTTTAATACTTTTTGGTCTTATAATTAATGTGTTTGAAAATTATGTAGTTTGATTGGAAGAAAACTACACACAATATTTTATTAAAGAATTTGGTTTATTTTTGGCGAATTTCAAAATCACCAAATTTGGCCAATCTTGAATACAATGGCTGCTCAACTTCCACACCAACCCATCTCCATCCTCCTCAAACTAGTCACCTCCTCCAGCCTCAGCCCCGATCCATCCCCTAAGGCGCTAAAAATTGCAAAAAACAAGGGTTTATTTTACATTTATTTTAGATATAACTTGCCTAAATCAAAATTAATCCTATGACTTATGCACGAAGTGGTCAAAGGTAATTCTGTCAAAAACTTGTAGATTTACAAATCACTCTTTCGTGAGAATCTCCTTGAGAGTGTTCCCGTCATTCTTTATTCAACCAACGATATCTTGTCTATATTTGTATAAATCCAGAACTTCAGGACTTTATTGGGGCCGACCACTTGTACCACTCCTCTCCAAATAGGTCCATCACCTGAGCCTTATTGCACACCCTCATCCTCCAACATTTTATTGTACTCATTTGAAGCTCTCAGAGCTGCCTGGAGTACTTCGATAGTCTTGTGCATGGCTTCATTGATCCCCTTCAACATGATAAAATAACCTCTCCTCGTGGTCGACCAATGTTGCAACTAAGCAATCAAAGTTGTCACCGTTTTTGAATGTATGGTGGCATCAACCTCTCTCTTCTTTACTATTGACACATTAATATGGATAAACTGGCTATGTATTGTTGATCATAGAAGAAGATAAAATGTTCAAATTCCTGGTATATTGATGCGTGTAAAAAGTGTAGTATTGTATGGTGTGTATACTACATTATTTGTATCAATTTTATGTTTTCAGTGTGTATGTTTGATCTACATGTGCACTATAGAGAGGAAAATTGGAGCATTTGACATCAAATATGCTAAGTCAACAGGCAAGCACCTTGGCACCTATGTAGAGCGCCTCAACACTGAAGGTACTAGGTTTTGGCCAAAAAATAGAACAGGCGACATCCCAACGCTTAGACCAAGCACCCGAGCGCCAGATGAGCTCCACGATGCCACCCAGATGTTGAAGTTTACTCAATTGTTTAATAGTGTTTGTTATTTTGTCCCACATAAAATTTCTTTCTTCATGAACATCTCAAATATTGAAATCTTGAAGTTTACTCATAAAAATAATTTTATTTATGTTATTTTGATGCCTTCATCTAATTCTATAACAAGATTTCTAATATTTTTAATCTTATAACTCTTCATCTTAAAATCCAAAACTAATAATCGATGTTGAGTACTTAAATTCTCACTATAAATGACATTAAAATCTTTACATCCTCGATGATCTCCTCTTCTCATAAGAAAATAATCAATTTATATTTTATTGGATCCATTATTATAAGTAATAATAAGTTATCTCTTTTCTTAAATAAAATATTAGCAATAATAAAATCATACTCTAAAACAAAATCTAATATGGTTTTATCTTCTTAATTAATTACTCCAAAACTATAGCCACCATGAATATTTTTAAAATCTTCTCTTTCTACCAACATGTTCATTTAAATCTCCTTCAATAAAATTTTTTTTTCAAGAGGTATCACTTGTATTAAGTCTTCTAGGTTATTCCAAAATTTTTCTTTAGAACTTATATATAAACCTAAGTTATCAATCTCCATAATTTTTTTCTCCAACCCAATTAGTTTATTGAATACATAAGATATTTATCTTTCTGTGAACCATAATATCAGCTAATTCCATTCATTTACCTGTGAGAGTACATATATTCCAAGATCTTATCCTAATATTAGCTTCATGGACTAATTTTTTTACCCACATCAGTCTGTATTGTGGGAATCATTGCTTATTTGACACTACTCTCAGGAGTCAGTATAGCAACTCTTGCACACTTTTTACTATATTCAAGCTATGTTGCGCATTGCTTCCAGGGGACGCCCTAGCATTTACACAAGGATCTAGAGAATTCATATCATGATTTTTCGACAAATTTTATGTGGTTGTCGACTACCTAACGCAACCCTCCACTTTTACGTCTGGGGTTTGGGAGCCCGTAATTGCAGTGTTATAGCTCGTGTTTGGTTTGTTTATAATTCGAGCTTAAAAATTTAGTTCGTGTCGGCTTATTTACTTAATGAACGAGCCAAACACGAGTTGTTCGCGAACAACGAGCTTTTATGACTTTTACTTAATGAACGAGCCAAACACGAGTTGTTCGCAAACAACGAGCTTTTATGACAGTTGTTCGCGAACAACGAGCTTTTATGACTAGTGTGCGCCTTAGGCTTAAAAAATTAAGTGTGAAATTTACGCTTCACCATTGCACCCATCACTACAACCCAGGACTTCCACGAAACCTCACTAGGGCTGCAACATCACCTTTGCGCGACGCATCCCTTCCTTTCGTGTCAACTTGGCTTCACCCCGTTAATTTTCCCATATTTATTCGAGCGCCACAATGTTGCACTCTAGTGTCGTGGTGCCCCTCGAAATTTCCTTATACACCTCTCCAATTCGTTTCTTCTTCACGCAAGAATTTTGTCTGACCTAACTGTCGGGAGGAAGCAGGAACGAGCAAAGAGGGATTAAGGGATTCTTAAAGATTTTTAGGTTCATTATTTTCATATTTTCATTTCTTTCTTCGTGTTTTTCATGGAATCTCCTTTCTCTCTCTCTAGTTGATTCCAATGGCCCCTATAACTAAAGGCCTCAAAAGAAAAACTTCTTTTGATAGTAACAAATTCGTGAACATAAAAGCGAAAGCTATGTTTACCAAATTCTTGGTGTCAAAAAACTTGAATCCAAAGAGGGGATTTCTTAATCTTGTGGGCGGGGTAGAAGGGGTTGTAGCTAGAATAAAGTGAGAAGAATTTTGTTATAAAATCAAAACTGGTGTTGTCCTATCGTTAGAGAGTTCTTCGCCAATACAAAAGAACAATTTGATAAAAAAAAAAGCTAGTAGACTTCAGTTCCACATAAATCAACTCAATCTTTGGCCTTTTTGAAATAATTGAGAATGAATACTCAATTTTCATACCCTTTGATTCTGATATAATTGAAATTATCAACTTCCTAATTGATTCTCAAGCTGAGTTGCAGGTGAGAAATGAGAGATTAGTTAATTTTAATTCCACTTCTTTAAATATTGAGTCGAAGGTAGCTCACTATTTCATATACGCTAAACTCTTTCCTTTGACCAATATTATTGGGGTGATATGGGATAGGCAGTTATAAATTATTTCATTCAAAAATAAAAATCAATTGATGTGGAGAGTGTGATTTATGATTCCATCTAGAATATCATCAAGGGAGAACCACGATTGGTCATAGCCACCCGTCCATTATTACTGTTTTATGTTCTAAAACGGGGGTAAAAAGTATGAGTTGGGAGGAGCAGTTTCTCCCTGTTAGAGCCATAACCAAGGAGACCTTAGTATCATACGGGAAGACACTTTATAAGAGAGGTGAGAACTTTTCTAGACCCACCCCGTCACGAGCCCAGCTTTCTTCCTCCATTTTTTCAATTTCCGAGAGGTTGGACACCTTGAATGATGATGTAGCAATTATTCAGTGGTGACGGCAGCATATGGGCCAACACTTTGATTATTACATTGATGAGCACCAACAATAATATGAGTATCAGGTGCAGGTTAACTCTACTTTAGCTTAGATGATCTGGCATGGCCAACAACACCAAGGGCCTAGCACTGCCTAGCTTCCCAAAGCACCATTATTTCATTGCTATGGCGATACAGCTCAACATATGAAGAAGAACAACGATGACGAGGGTGATGATGATGAAGGTAATGACGTCTGTCTTTCCTGCATTTTTGACCTACATTCGATTATTGTGTAGTTGATTCATGAATGTTCTGCGTGATTGTTTGTTTTCTTTTTATGTTTTGTATAATTCGAAAACAGATTATGTTTATGCTATTTTCTTCCAGTAGTACCCTTATGTGATTGTTATTTGATGGTTATGTGATTACATTTAATATTTACTTTTGTTTTTGTCATATGTTTTTCATGTCAGTATGTCTTTATTGTAATGTGCTTACTTTCTTTCTAATATATTCATGTTTTGCCTTGTTATTTCTTTTTCTTGTCCTATTTTTATTTTCATGTAATTAATATAAAATAAACTTGGGAGAGGGATTGTGACACTTGTTACTCAGTAATATTTAATATCTAAATTTTAAACTTCAAATTAAAATAATAGGTCAAACTTAGATTGCTTAAAAATTGATAATATATTTAAATAATTAAAAGGGACATAAATCTTCATTAAGAATTGAATTTTTAATTAATTTAATAATAACTAACCTCTAACCAAGATAAATATTCTATTTATTATAACAATTCTTAAGCAATCAAAATTAATTGACGGCAAGTATAATTAATTAATCAAAGATATTAAATTCATTAATTATCAATTTAAATAACCTAATTAAAAATAAGATTCTTTTGAACTATAGAATTTTGAATAAAAATAAGTAATTAAGAATTTCAAAATTGAAAAGAAAGGATATTCAAAATAATTAAAAACAAGCTTAACTAAGCACAGTAATTCTGTGTGCTTGAAAAACAGTGAAAATAAAAAGGAAAACATATAAGTTTAAAAGAAAAAAAAATCAAGGTATAAGAGAATAAGGTTGATGTTAAGCTTGAAATAAAAAATTTGTATCATAATTCTTTTCTAATAATAAAAAACTTGAACCTTATTTAATTGAGTTTTCAGATACTGTATTAAAAAAATGATTAAATTAGGATTGTTTAATTGATAAGTTTAATCGAATTGTATATCTCTTTGATAATTAAATGTGTTTTATTCAAAAGTTGATGAAGTGATTTAATATTCATTGTGATAAAGGGGTAATAATTGTTGTGATGTTAGGTTATCATTAATTAATAAAAATTCAACTCTTTAATAATATTTATTCACTTTAATTGAAAATTATTTATGATATTATTAAGGAGCAAGGAAATCTTAGAAATAGAGCCACTAAAAATCTTTCCGAATCTAAGTTTATATATTAAATTAATTATTGACAAGTAATATCTGAGTTTGGGAGAATTTAATGCGTATAAAAAGTGTAGTGTTGTATGAGTGTTTATTATATTATTTGTGTTATTATTATTATTTTTTTTTTTTGTGGCATACTTGCAATATACAAAAAAAATTGATCCATTTGGCACCAAATAAGCTCACAGTGTTTATTATATTATTTGTGTTATTATTATTATTATTTTTTTTTGTGGCATACTTGCAATATACAGAAAAATTGATCCATTTGGCACCAAATAAGCTCACTCGGAGGGTAAGCGCCTCGACGTCTGTCGAGAGCATGTCAGCATTGAAGGTGCCAGGTTTCAGTCAGAAAATAGAGTGGATTACATCCTAGTGCTTGGATCAAGCACCCCGATGCCACACAGACGAGCATCTCAGCGCCCAATTCAACCAGAGCGAGTGGAAATTCAGAAGAAGCCAACATCTCAGCATCAGGACCTGACCGTCGCCATGCCTGAATCGCCCCCCACGCTAGCACCTTAGTGCTTACAGCCCTAATTTGGTGATCCTAAGCCCAGAATTCCAGCGTCTACATGCACCACTGTCGCGCCCACACCAACAACACCTTGTCAGCGTCGTCACGCTCACACCAAATTAGGCCGGTTTTGCCTATGATTCCAACATTGAGAGCATATAAAGGGAAACTTTCTTCAGATGAGGGAAAGCTCACGTGAATTTAGAGACGGACATACATGAAGAGAGTGTAAGAGAGAGCTTGGATAGTGAATGTTGTGTATTGCAATGAAGAGAGTGAGTATCACTATATTGTGTAAGGAAGAGATCGAGAAGAAATCCATTCTTAAGAAAGTAAGATTTCATCATCCTGGTTCTTTAGTTTTACTTTGTACTTTGATTATACTTGCTTTGAATGGATTCAATACAAATTATGTTATTGCTTTCCACCATGTTTAGCACTTAAGTTATTTTTTGAATTTGTTTTCTTTGAAATCTTGGGGTATTCATGTTAGATTCTTGAACTTTTAAAATCCTAAGTTGATATTTTAACATTTCAATCTTAATTTACATTCAAACTAGTCAATTACATTGTTAAAACTAGTTGTAATCTAAGACTATCCGAAAAAGATTAGAAACACAACTAAGTTTAAACATATGATTTTAGTGGAATAGAAATATTGTCATTATATTTTTGTAATCTTCTTATGAAACGTGGATGCTTGAAAGTTCTTGCAGGCTTAAGGGAATTTTACTATAACATAGAATTCTAGCTTTTTATTTCTTGAAAAAGAATAAGAAGTATTAGGCCCTGATTGTTAATTACATTAAGAGGATCATTTGAAGAAACCTAGGTTTTACATAACCAATTTAAGGAAGAATTTTAAACTAATTTTTGTTCTAAAAGATTCAAAACTAAAAAATCTTAAATGCTTTGAGCTAGACTTATGATTAATAAATTATTACTTAAAATTATTTTAAAATTAGTGAAATTCCTAGTGAGATCAATAATTCGGATCACAATTCGCATATTACTTGATAGACACGTATGCTTACGTGATATCCAATGTTTCGCAACATTTAGGGATCATACATCAAAACATTGTTAAGTGCATACAAGTCATTATGTGCTAGAACGCGTAGTACATTGGTTAGAAATAAGGTAAAGAATCACAATAAGCCAGGTGAGGCGAGGTTCTCACCCTATCCCAAAATCTTTGATACCTTTGTGCCTGTTGACCAAAAGTAGGGAAGACATGGAATGTCTAAGTAACATTAATGGGTACGATAAATGCACTATTATGGTTTATAGAAAAGCAAAATTTCACTTGCTCATAATAATAATTTATTTTGCCATAATGAGCGAGAAATCCATTAACTGTGGCTATAATATTGATAACTTCATTAATGTCTTTGACTATTGTGTCAAAATCTACATTGTTGAGAGACGGAGGAGCATTTATAAGGGGGAGCATGAGTTCTGAGATGAACCAAAGAATGCCTGATTAGTGAACTCCCAATGGGCCATCCAAAGCCCATGCTCTTAGAGAGTTGGAGAGTGCCCTTAAAGGCTAAACCAACAATGAATGGTGTTGAGTAGTGGGATCGAATGATAAATTGTTGCCTCTTCTCCTGGATGACCCATGTTCCAGCATAGCTAACTTTGCTACACCACACAATTTATTTTGCACTTGTTTTTTCACAAATAAATTCTCCCTCTTTATCCCTTTATGCCTTAAATCTTACTCTAATTCAACACTTGAGTAGGCTCATGAGGGTGACAAAACCAATTCAATCTAAGTTCAACATTCACCAAATTAGGGTGGTTTTGGCGGGTTTGCCTATGAATCCAACATCGACAACATATAAGGGGCAAATTTCCTCAGATGAGGGGATGCTCGTGAAATTTTAGAGACGGACATGCATGAAGAAAGTGTAAGAGAGAGCTTAGATAGTGAGTGTTATGTATTGTAGTGAACAGAGTGAGTATTCTATCACTATACGTGTAAGGAAGAGATTGAGAAGACAATCCATTCTTAGGAAAGTAAGATTTCGTCATCCTAATTCTTTACTTCTGTTTTGTACTTCGATTATACATGATTTGAATGGATTCAATATAAATTATGTTGTTGCTTTCAACCATGTTGATTGATAAAAAGAGAGAATTTAATAAGTGAATTCCCAATGGGCCATCCAAGGCTCATGCTCACAGAGAGTTGGAGAGTGCCCTTAAAGGTCAAAACAACAATGACTGGTGTTGAGTAGTGGGATCGAATGATAATGGGCTTCCTCTTCTCCTGGATGACCCATGTTCCAGCATAGCTAACCTCTAAACTATTGCTATCAGGGCTCAACAACTAACCCTCACCCTCCAAAAGAAGAAAAAAATCCAACAATGATGGCACCGACCATGTGCACATATGTGATCGCATCAGAGATCATAATTTTAAGGAGTAACCAATATATATATATATATATATTCAAAATTTTAGGTAAAACAATCTTATGTTCATTGCTTGTACTATTTTATTTTCTAAATGTTTGTATCAAAAGATGTTCATAGCTAACTAATTGAAATCTATCTCTAATAACTTGAATCCGCATACACAAGAAGAAAATGAAAATAATGCTTAAAACATGAGCATAATATGATAAACTGTAATTCAAATTTTCTTTGTTATAAAACCTAAATTGTGAAATAGATGTCATTGTGCTCAAGTAGCCTTTACATTGATTGAAAATAAAGTGAAGAATCCCCAAAGATCGAATTCAAGCGCTCACACTGCTTGAAAAAATAAAATATTAATCATCAATTGATTTTAAAAAGTGTATCATGGTGCAAATAAAATAGATCCATTGATTAACTGCATTCTATGATTTGAAATATCAAAACAAACAAAATTTTATATCCTATAATCAGCTTAAGTTTCAATCTGCAAGGGAAATTTCATATACATGGGGCAATAGATTTAATACTTTTAATCAGATATTAAAAAAAAGTTCTTAATTAAAGTTGTTCAAGCACTTGGCTCACACAATACCAGAATTTTACGCGCAATGATTGAGCTAAACTAGGGTTTTTGTTCACCAAGCTCCAAATATTTCGATTACATTCTAAAAGATTAATAAATGAGCCAAATCCCTAACGGAGATGGATGAACAAGGATAAGGAATAGAGCGATCCAGAGAGATTAGAGAGCTTACACGAATGCCCTGTGAACGAAGGGCGTCGACGGCGGCGTCGAGGACGTGGCGGCGGCGACCCATGATGGCGATGGCGGCGCCATGCTTTCCAAACTGTGTGGAGATCTCGAAGCAAATCCCGGAACCCCCTCCCGTAATGAGCGCCGTCTTCCCGTTCAGGATATCGGGTTTGAACACAGACTCCATTACTGATCTGGGGACCTCGATTGCTTCCCTCGCTTCCTGCCTGTTCGCTTCTTCGACTGATGGAAGACGCAATTGGACATCCTGTGTGGCTCTGGTTAAAGCTTTATTCAAGCGATAATTAGATGCAGACAATCCAACAAATGTGATTGTTTTGGAACTACCGGACACAGGTATTTAGGTATGTCACCATCCCATAAATTATTAGGTGGGAGCCGGCTGGAAGTGATAGAAAAATTTTAAAAAAAAATTATTTTTGCACTAAGAATATTTTTTTATGTTATTCCCTATAATTTAAATATTATTATGATAATATTCATATATTATTGTGTTTTGAGAATATTCATGGTATTATAATAACACAATAACACATCAATATCATAACAATAACACATGAATAACACGGAATAACACGGAATAACACGGAAGAATATTCTCTTGTGTTAAAATAAATTTTATTTATTTTTTTATCACCTTCACAAGGCGTGATTTTATTGGACTCCGGACATACCTGACGTAATAATTTTTCGTCACCATCCTCAAATTATTGAGAATTTTGATAAAAAAAAAATATATGGGTTGGTGTTTTCCAATGAAACTTGCTATTTATAAATCGACCATCTTTTATCTATTTTTCAAATCCTATTTTAAATATCTAAATTCATTTTCTTAAGTGTTATGAAAAAACCTTTGAAAGGTGACACATAGTCTGTCTTAATCGAATGATACAATTTTACTTCAACTTCGTAATATATATAAAGATATATATCAAAATTCCTAAAAATCATCAGTTATTTTTATTAATATCTTATCACAAAATTTCAATATTTTAATTGCAGCACACTAAAACATACATGTTTTAGACTTTCTCTTTTTAATTTGGATGGCAGTGTTTCATAAAATAAATAAATAAATAAATATAAAAAAATATAAAAAACATAAACAAAAAAAAACAAAAAAACAAAAAAAAAAGAAGTTTTGATTATATGCAGTCCTTAACGCCGATAAATGGGCCCGCCTACATTCTGCGTAAAATTTGAGATGGCCCGGCCCAACAAGGTCACATGTTAAGTAGGCCCATCTTACTTTAGCAGGCATATAAGAAAAACTATAGTGGACTCACAATAGTGCCTACAATTTATGTTATCCGACAATTTTTCAGATTTCTTTTGATCTGTTCGACAAAGTGTATAGAACAGTGTTTAATTATTACATTTATTAATTGTTCACCTAATATAATCTCAAATATATCAATTTAATAAAGAGTTGAAAATTATTCATATTCTAATATTACAAGTAATAGAGTGATATATTAATATTTTTATTCCAATATTTATATAGATAAAAGAAGTATTATAAGGAAAGAAAATAAATTTTTCATGTAAATTTTAAAATATGAAAAATTTATGTGACCTGACCCAATTTAAATAATTTTTCTAGTATGCGTCAAAAGTTGACCGCTGCTGGTCAGCCAGCGTCGACCACTGTCAGTTGCCCCCTGCTCATTGCAATGAAACTGCTTACTGAAACATAGTTTAAGCTACGAAATTCCGACGTGCATTGTGGAGTAAAGAAACACCTGAAGAAGCAATGCATCACCCTGAATGTTATGCAGTAACACAACCAAAAGAAGATATTACAATGCACCACACATACTGTGTAAGGACGTATTCCCAACACGTGATCATGAATAATGTCATATCAAGGATCCGACGATAAATCTTTGTAATAGTTGATTGCGGCCGTTGTACTCAGAATACGATGACTTTCTTCAAATTTATGAAGTTCTCGTCTCACGACTCTTAATTACGACATATGTTGTCCACAACTCATAAGTTCAGCTTGTGTGGCCTACAGACATTAATTATTGCAACTCTCCAACAAAACTTATGGGACGAACTACGGGTCCACAACTCATAAGTTCAGCTTGTGTGGCCTACATACATTAATTATTGCAACTCTCCAACTTGTATGGTTCACGACTCATGCAACTCTCAACTCTGGCATCTACAACTTACAAATATTATTCAACTTTCTACTATGACATGTGTGACGAACTACATCCTTTGTGGCTCACAGCTCTTGCAGCTCTCAACTCCGATCACTTCTGCCTACAAAAGTTATTCGAGGTCACCACTATGACCTAAGTGACCAACTACAACCTACATGGCTCGCATCTCATGCATCTCTCATTTCTGACCCCTTAGACTTACGAACGTTATTACAACTCACTAGTGCAACCTTTGTGGCTCACAGCTCATGTAACCCTCAACTCTGGCCTTTGCAACTTATGGGCGTTGTCGCATCTCACCAATACGACCTACATGACCAACCACGAAATAAGTGGCGCACAACTCCCGCAGCTCCCTACTATAACCTTTATGGCTAACTGGTGTTCATGAAACAATCATCTATGACCGATATGACCAAATACTACCATGACTTTCAACCAAGATCTCTAAAACAAGATGATGATACAACCATTACCTACAACATTTATAACAGGCTGCCATCTTCATAGCAATCGACTCCGACCATTACAGTTTGCTATCACTAAGAAATACCTTTATTGCAACCATATTACAAACAATTAACAATGAACTACTGTCGTACATTCACAATTATTAACTTTATGACTCTATCTTCCCTAATTTATGATAAGAGTAAACTTATGTACTTACATCACGTAGTGTATTATTTCATTGAGCCAGTCCCCATGATTTTTCTCCTTTACAGGATTTTTCGCGTTGTGTATCCTCGTGTTCATGTCACTTTTATCTGTGCATACCTCGGATTTTCGTCCAATGTTAAATTATTACTCCACAACTACGAATCTTCTGACACACAACAATCAATATGCAATATAAAATAATCATCTAAAGTTTTAAATAATTTCCAATTTGCACAATCAAGATCACAATTTGTTAAATGTTAAAATAAATCCACCTTAAGTCCTCCCCCTAAAATATGATTTTGTGTTACTTAAAATAAGCATAAACGCTGTGGATACTTCTATTAGGATAGATTTTAAAAATTTAAATTTGTGGTTACCACTTTATCACAACGACTAATCTAATTATAATATGGAAAATATCATGAATGATGGCCATCATGCACGCCACTATAAATACTATGGAAAATATCTAGCATGCAATCCGACATTGTCTCATATCATAATCTTCTTATGACAATTATGTTCATCATTTGACGTAATTACCTTAAAAAAATGTCATGCATCCTCTTTCTTTAATATTATATGAAGAGATAATATTCAAGTCAAATTTTAATATTGAAATTTATTAAAAATATATAATAAAATATATTTAAATATTTAATATTTAATAATAGAGAATTTAATAATTCAAAAAAAAAATGTATTTTTATTTATTTATTTATTTTTGTTCTAAGGATATTGATTAGTAAGATATATAAGTAATGGTCCAAAAAAAATTAATTTAATTTATATTATTTAGTAAAATTGATTCTAATCGGTTAATGCATATCTTTTTGTTTAAATTTATATTTTGCAAAATATTAATTTTCTTAAGTTTTAAATATAATTTCTTATGGTAACATTTATTTATGGTATGTGCCCTCTATTTATCGCGATAGACATACGTCTTACAAAATTAAAGATCAGTGTCTTCATCATTAGCTATTAGATGGACTTTTTAGTAATTACAAAAATATTTGAATCTAATAAAACTGGCGAATTGATGCCGGCCGACGAGAAGTTCGTCAACAGTTCGTCTGACCTTAACTTCATCGATATTTGATCTGAAACTCAACAATCTACCGATCAATTTTAAGGCTGATCGTCATCCAATGAGAAATCCTTTCACACGTCCGTACAATCGATCGATTCAAACGCCTCCCTTGCTAGCATTATTCTATCAGTCGCTAACAGGAATACCGATCGATCGCGCTATCCTTCTGAGCTGTCCGTTCTACCTTGACATCTGTGGTGCCATATTTTTTACATACAAAATTAAAAATAAAGAAAATTTCACTTTAAATTCGTTCTTAGAATATTATTCAAAATACTTAAAATCATTATCTTAAATTAAAATATTAATTATTGAATCTATAAAAATAATATTACTACGTCACTACTTTCAAAATGATTTTTTCTTCTTTTATTTCACAACCTAATCTTAATGATTCGAAGCATGATCAATAAAAACAATCATTTTGCATCCATTGGTACAGAGTCGCCAACTATGGCCGGCCACTTCAGCCATTGGGCTGTCACATCTTGCCGGTACATCGTAGAAAGCAGGTTTAATTTGAGCGTGAAAGTTGTGGTGGGCTACATTAATCAAATGAGAAAAGTAGGGCATCTAAATACACATTATATAATTTTTATATATTTATATATTAAACATCTATAATTTTTACATATTTATATGTTTATGGCATCAAAATATTAATAATATAAATATTGAATATTAAATATAAGATATGCATTTTTTTTTTTTTTTGTCATGTGTTGAAGTCAAGTGAAATTATTTACAATAAGCGAGAGAGGAAGGATTCAAATCTACGAAGAAAAACTTCAAAAGATTTACAGTCTGTCGCTTTCAACCACTCGGCCACTCTCCCATTTACGGGGCCGATTCCACTTAAGATCGAAGGAAACTCATAGATAGAAGAATTTCAATTTTCATCCAAATCTCTTGAAAGAAGTGGGCAAAGCTTCCACGACAGTTTCCCCCTCATTGCCATCACAATCCGGGGAGAATTATATGGTTGATGAGTGCTGGAAAATTCACGGCAATAGAGTAATGGATTATCGTCTTAGCGTTGCGCGAGGATTCAACACACACTCAGATAAAAATGAATCAAACTGTGATAACAACATAAGTTTTTACAAGGAAAAACCGTAAAGGGGAAAAACCACGGGGTCTGGCCCAGTTGTAAAAATTCACTATAAGTTGATGATTACAGATGCCCCTTGTCCCACAGGCCGAAAGGGTTACTAGCTTTCCAAGTTACAACGTCGACTGACGACGTCTAGTCAGCGGTGGTTCACGGAGGTCAGCGGTGATCGATGGTAATCGACGACAATCAATGACGGTCGGCGGTGGCCGACGGAGATAAGCAGTGGCTGACGACAGTCGATGACGGTCGGCGGTGGTCGACGAAGGTCA